ATCTATTCTCCCACACGCCGAGTCTGTTCCTTCAGGTCTTCGCCAAAAGCTGGTCTACCCGGCAAGAAGGGCGGGACTTATCATTATTGACAGACTCAGTCCTTTATGCTGATTGGGCGGGTACAACCCATCCTGGCTGCTGTCTCCACCCAATGAGAAGGAGCATCTCAGGTAGGACCAATGCCCCTTCCCCATTGACTTTGTTTGTAGGAAATAGGCAAGAAAGGTCACACATGGCTATTGCATGACTGTGGGATGCTGCAATCATTATAAGCCAGGTGCCTAGTGCGCAGATTGAAATCATGTGACCAACGGATACTGGGAATGACTGGAGTTTTGAGGACTGATGTTGCAGGTATTCTCTTACCGTTGCTATGTTCAAAACAGATTTTATATTCAAATTGGGCAACTTGTGATGTGGATATTTGTAGTAAGGCATGTAGCTTTAGTGAAATTATTATAAATTCATGCCCTGTTTTACTGCAGGCAGACGGTTATCATAAGATTTGCATGTCAACATGCCTGTTATTTATAGAACCAATAAGTGTTTACTTACTTCAATGGCCACTTGCTTGTTGAAAGCTGAATCTGAAATAAGTGGTCATTTATACTGGAGGGCACAGCAATTCAGTCAGTTCAGTAATTGCTAAATCATTTCCTTTAGTAGAAAGGATTACAATTCAATTTGGATTTGAAACGCTGTATGAATTAGAAGAGTTGCATATGTTGCATTTATTTACCTTATTTAAGATTGCATGTTATTGAATACAACATCTGATTTTAATACCTTGTAATATTTTTATTTGTAATATGCCAAATTAATCAGAGAGTAAAAGAAAATAGACATTTGTTGTCAATAAACCATTACAAAAATCTCACTATTCAGAAAGGTTTTCATGAACTAGTGTGTCATTAATATATGTCAGCATGCTGTAAATGAGAAATTGAAAAAAATTAACCTTCAGCTACGAAAAAATCCTATTAAACTTTTAATCTGAGACAATAAAAACTTGCTGATTTTGCAAGGGAAACTTAACTCTGCCATAATTCAGCATCATCAATTTTCTGTAAAATAAATAATTTGTAACAGGAGAGTCTTTAAGCTTCAACTTTTAAAGAAAGTAAATCTCATATTTTGACTATTGAAAAAGCCATCAGTTACCTGACTGATTTTTGTTTTCAGTTTCATCGTGTATTTCATTTTAGAGCTCTCAGACCTTTATGTGAATATACCATTTGACCATTCCTTAGACAGAATAACAGAGTTGTAAGGTCCTCCAGTCCAACCCCTTGTTCAAGCAGGAAACCTTATATAATTTCAGACAAATGGCTGTCCTGTCTGTTCTTAAAAACCTCCAGTGATGGAGCACCTGCAACCTCGGGAGGCAAGTCGCTCCACTGATTAATTGTTCTAACTGTCAGGCAACTTCTCCTTAGTTCTATTTTATGATGATAAACTGAATCTCATTAGTGATTGAAAAATGTTGCATGAACTAATATTGATTCAGTTCTCCATATGCTCATAGAGTGGGAAGCAAAACCACACCCACTTTATATGTGTTTGTCTTTTTGTACGTATTTATTCTTGTACAAACATGTTTTACACCAATTTGTCTATGCTTTTATCTTTGGCCAAGAGCTTTTTCTAGATGACTCCTAGACAGTGGTAAATTATGTAAAATGAAACAAAAGAGAGCAATAACTGGAACTTAATAGTAATTGTTTTAGTATTACACAAAAGCATTCTTGCTTATTCAAATGTTTAAAATAGTTATAAGTTTTAAAATATTTTAAAGTTCTTTTCCTGCTGTTTGATTGCTTTTCTATTTCATATTGAGAAACTTTTTTAAAAATATACCTTCAGATGAAGAATAGGGCTACGACAGACCTTAGTTGGGAAAATCTATACTTAATTAAAATTCTGATTCTTGTAACCTTTAAGAGGGTGAAATAGTCCACTATAGGGCAAAACATTTTCAACCAAGATACCTACAGAATGCGTCCAAAATCCAGGACTGATTATTTCTGTGGAATTGAAATTTGGCAGATTTCATAACATATTTTAATACATAAATATTATAAAAACAGTTTGTTATATGATACCAAATGTCATAAAACATTTTCTATGTTGATGTTTGACTGTCTATACAATTCGATATGCGTTATTTTCAAAGTAGATAACATCTCTGAATCAGGGGTGAAATGCTCCCGGTTCGGACCAGATCGCCTGATCCGGTAGCGATGGCGGCGGGTGGTTTGGAGAACCGGTAGCAAAAATCCCTGCAACCTCCCCCCCATGCCCAGCTGAGCCACACAATCATTAGAGGCTTTTTTTTTTTTTTACTTTTAAAAGCATTTTTTCGGCTGAAGAAAAAATGCTTTTAAAAGTTAAAAAAAAAAAAGCCTCTGATGATCACGCGGCTCAGCTGGGATCGTCAGACCCTTTTAAAAGCATTTTTTCTACAACCTCTTTGGACGAAAAAATATAGAAAAAATGTAGAAAAAATGCTTTTAAAAGAAAAAAAAGTTGGTCACGCCCACCCAATTACATTACCCCCCCAAGCCATACCCACAGAACTGGTAGTAACAAATTTTACATTTCACCATTGCTCTGAATGTATCTCAGCTTTTCCAATGAAGGCAGTATGTTAGGAGCTCTAGCACTGTTGAAGGCATTAGGGAACCAGATAAAGAAATATTTCTGAAATGATGAACCAACGAATCATAAGTTGTTTAGTAAAGACCTAAATGCAACTCATATTTTCTCTTCCCCCACCCCTCACCCAGAATATTTGATGCCAATGAGTTCATGTTTTAAATCAATTCTTAATATTAAACATTTGTGAAATTAACCCTGCAAATACAAATTCCAATATTTATTATTCCCAAATTGCAGACTGGAAGAGTTGTCCATGGACTCTGGAATTAAGATAACCTTGTAGCATACTTCACAATGAATACTGAAGGTCAGGTTCTAAACCATTTCATCAATCATGCATGTTGCCCAGTTGTATTAGGCCTTTATTTAAGGTTGGGGTAGTGTGTGCTGAGCTGCAATCTTATAGCACAGTGGGGTTGTTATAATTTTACATTTTAATTATCATGTTGCTCACTGAATTGAAAAAGCTACCCTCAGTGTACTTTGCATCAGCTCTAAAATATAACCCATTTTAACATTATAGGCATGGATATGCTTAATTGCTCCCTCTGTTCTCATCCTTTCACGGAACTTTTATGAGAGCTATATGATTGCAATATTTTAAGAAATTGATTGAATAATTCCTGGCATGCATCATTTTAAATATATGTCACTGAACTTTACTTTTTATTTTTTTGGTCTATTTTCAGTATGTCTCTGCTTTCTTTTGTTTCCAAAACCTCAGAAAAATAACTGTTCTAGGTATTGTTTTTTCACACAAAGATACAATAGCCCATAATTTAATTGTATGAATGATAGTTTTAAAAAAATAACGTAATCAAGTAAAGATAATAACTGGATGATGTCAATGAAGATTCTTAGTCAACCAGGTAGGGTTGTCTGGAAATTGAATCATAGCAACTGGACTTATTTTTGTTGGTTTGAAATATTTCACTGCTCATCCAAGTGGCTTCTTCAACTGGATGATGTAATATATATACATTTTCAGCTGAATATAGCAAATTGAAGTATGTGTAAATAACACTAAAGGTTAATAAATAATACAACCTATCTACCTGATTTGATGTAACTGTTGCTGGCCATATTAGTAACTACTATGAAATGATTAACCTTTTCCAAAGTGTTTGTTTTCTCTTTTCTATGGAACATTTTGTTTTAATACAGCATTCATCACAACAGTTTAATTCTGATGGAAATATAATAGTGTAATGAAAGAGATTCAATCTTTTTAGTATTTTTCATTCTTCTTTAATAATTTACATGATTTGATTCAAAATCTTAAAAAACCCCACTAGATGGCAATCTCAGCAACTATTTCTGAACAACTTTCATAGTTTCTGTACAAGTTTTCATTGACAAAAGATTATCTTAGATTATATCCAGTGATATAATTCTATTGATCATATATCTCTGCTATACTGCTACCAAGTTTAATTTTCTATATGAAAACTGGAGAGGAGAAGAAAGAAAGCCCCGTCATATAAACCACTTGCTTAATATTTGTTGAAACCTACTGTGTTTCTTAGCCCCCCACCTCCCTTTTTGCCAATGAACAAAAATAGACAATAACATGAACTATTTCATTTTGATATAGTAGTTAAGGTATCACACTAGAAACTGAGAAACTGAGTTCTACGGTAGTTCCACTTTAGGCCTAAACCAGCTGGGTGACCTTAGACTAGACACTTTCTCTCAGCCTTAGAAAGGAGGCAGTGGCAAACCATTTCTGAAAAACACTTCAAGGAAAATGTCAGAGACTTGTCTAAGCAGTCTCCAATAATTGGAGATGGCTGGAGATTGAATGGAAGAAAAAAAATACATCTTAAAATTTTCTCTTAAAATGGGTGTTGGTCCTACCTGAACACCTCTTCTACTGGAGGCTGGGAGAGAGAATCCAGCCCCACCCTTACTAGCGTCTGGTCCACAGTCCGGGAGGAGCTTATATCTTTCAGGTCACATTCTTTCATTGCTAGACCTTCGCCAAATTGGGAAGCACCAGGCCAGGAAGGAGGGACCCATGCAAATTATGATCACCCATCCTATCCTGGATTCTCTCGATCCAGCTCCAGGGAGAACTCCCCTCTTTTCATCAGTTCACAATTTTCTACTTTATAAACGTAGTTGCAGGCAATAAACTACCTATATCTACCTTTATGTAGTTTATGAAAACAAAATGAATTTTTTTGTTTATTTTCATGCAGTTAAAATATATTTTATGACTATATGAAAAGAGGTTAACTTAAATGCACTAGAAAATAAAGATTATCCTATGAAATAAACACTCTATATTTAAAATTACTGTAAGCCAATATCACAAGTATTATCTATGCATGTTTTTTAGGTCTTGAGTTTCCTGATCTACATATCCAGTGAGAGATCACACAACTTCTATATTGATGGATATAATCAAAAGTACAATTTTCTATATTGGGCAATAAATATTCTACTGATGGGAAATCAGGTGATTTTATGTGTACACATTAAGTTACCATTTGTTCACCTACTGTTTAGCTTCTCTTTAATTTTGTACGTGGAGGCTTAACTCAAGGTGTATGTGGGTATGTATGTATGTATGTATGTATGTATGTATGTATGTATAGATAGATAGATAGAGGGGGAGGGGGAGAGAAGGGGAGGGGGAGGGGTCAATTCTGGACACACTGCTGTCATCTTCTTGATCAATCTGCTTGCTTTTGGGAGATGAGTGGGAGGAAGGTTGATACATCATCTTAGTGTATAAGAGTTTTTTGAAAGACAATGGTAATTTAAAAACATTTTTCATTTTATTTGAGACAATTGGCAGTGTTGGCTTTTATGAGCTTCAGAGGGTGTACTTTGTAGTTAATCTTTCCAATTTTTCAAAAGTTTGAGTTTTCATTGAGGTCAGTCCAATATGTGTGGACCAAGAATATTACAATTGGTTTGTCTGCTCTGAGAATTAAGTGTATCATCAACATGTTTTGTTTTAAACTGCTCTTATATTCTGATTTTCATTTTTACTGATGTTGTAACAGTGTCTCTTTCTGTTTTAATACATCTCTGAAATGCTTTGTTAAGTTACATCCTGAGATCTCTGTCTTTCTTCACTTTGGTTTCTCAAAAAAACCAAAAGCACACCTATAAACTGGGGGAAACTAGGTTTAATAGCAGTGACTGTGAGAGGGATCTTGGAGTCTTAGTGGACAATCAGCTAAATATGAGCCAGTAGTGTGTAGTGGCAGCTAAAAAAGCAACACAATCCTAAATTGCATTAACAGAGGGATACAATCAAGATCAAGTGAGGTACTAATACCACTCTATAAAGCCCTAGTAAGGCCACACCTAGAGTACTACATTCAGTTTTCGTCACCACAGTATGAAAAAGATGTTGAGACTCTAGAAAAAGTGCAGAGGAGAGCAGCCAGGATGATTAGGGGACTGGAGACTAAAACATATGAAGAACAGTTACATGAACTGGGCATGGCTAGTCTAGTGAAGAGAAGGACCAGGGGAGACATGATAGCTGTCTTCCAATATTTGAGGGGCTGCCACAGAGAGGAGGCGGTCAAGCTGTTTTCCAAAGCACCTGAAGGCCAAAAAAGGAATAATGGATGGAAACTGACCAAGGAGAGATTCAACCTAGAAATGAAGACAAACTTTCTGACAGTGAGAACAATCAACCTGTTGTGACTCTGACTCCTGAGCCTGTCCTCATGGAGGAAGAGGACTCAGAAGGTGAGGGGGAGGAACTGGCAAGGCTTCCCTCTCCAGGACCTTCCTCTCTGGCAATGCCTCAGGTTCCAGCCGAAGGCCAGGAGGAACAGCCTGGGATGTGCCAGGAGGAAGGCATTTCGGAGCACCCATTGATAGAGAGTGATACTGATGAATCCTGGCTTGATCCCAGGCAGCGTCGGAGGGAGAAGCGTGCGCAGCAAAGGAAGAGGCGTGGGAGGACCATGGATTGAGCTGAATCACTGAGCCACGCCCACAAGGGATAAAAGGGGGTGTGATTGCTTGGCAGGTTTTGTGACGGACAAACGTTTAAACTCTAAAGAGTCACATCGTGAATCCTGCACTTTGGCTCAGATATATTCTCCATTGTGGGTGGAGACAGCAGCCAGTGTGGGTAGTACTCAACCAATCAGCTTGAAGGACTGAGTCTGCCAATAAGTTTAAGTCCCGCCCTTGTTGCCGGGCAGACCAGCTTTTGACTCAGTCCTTCAATTGGACGGGCGTGTGGGTCTTTAGCTCTGTGCTTACTTCTACCTGTGTATTCACTCTGTGGTTTGATTTTTTGGTGTTTGACTCGGATTTCCTTGACTACAAATTCCTCTTTCTTCATTAACCTTTTTGGCTGGCTTCGGACTGTCTGACTTCGTTATGAGTGTTACGATTCGGTTTGGACCTTTCCCCGGTTGCTGGCTGTTCCTGATGGCTGGGGGTGCTTTCTCTGCCTGCCTCCTTCGTGGAGGGCGGCTTCTCAGCTACAGTGCTTGTTTATTTACGGTGGTGGGCTTGCCAAGCCCCTTTCTAGCTCGTCGCTCAGTGCGCTTCTAGCTCCCGATCTAACAATTTACAAGGTATTTCTCGCCTTTGGAGCGGTGGTGGCCATTTTAAATTGACTTTCGCGCCAGAGCGCTCTTTCAGCTGCATTTGGACATTTCTACCGAAAAGCAAGCCTTTTTAAATTTATTCTGTCAACGGCTCTTGATCTGATTCTCTACTGAGCTCGTCCTTCTCGTCGGCCCTCTTTGCAGCCGCTATTTCTTCTGACTTTCAGTGACATGCAGCGCTTTGCCACGTTTGATAGTGAAGTTTCGCGCTCCAGTTATTGCCTTCCAGCGGCCGTTGGGACCTTTTTTCTTGGAATGGCTTGGGCTTCCTCATTCCTTTCAACAGCCCTTCCTTGTAAGTGGAGTTTTGCGCTCCCCGTTTGGAGCTGTGTAGACATTTGGAGTGGCCTCCTTCCTGTGCTCCTTGGCGGCCGCCATTTTATTGGCTTGCTCCTGTGCATTGGTGGCCATTTTGTGGAATCCTTTTGCTCCCGTTTGGATATTGGAGGTTTTCCTATCCCCAGTGGTTTCTAATTGGTGGAGTTTCCTGCGCTCCCATTATTGCCTGCCCTCTTTATTGCTGGACTTACCCTGTTTGCCTGTTACAGAGGTCTAATAGCCGCCCTGATGCCAAAAGCCGTGGCAAAGTCCAAGCACGGCTGGAGGGCCGGGGCTCATGATTCTGGTCAATCAGACACCTTGTCTGCTATCCAACCATTTGCCCGGGAGGTCTCCAGGGAGCCATCCCCGGCTTTGCACTCGTCACACTCCCACCATTAGTCCCATGGCCATCGTGTTGTTTCTTCAAAGGCTGAGAAACGGAGGGACAAGGTCTTAACCAAACTGTGTGCCAAGGCTAGCGCTAACCTTGCCTCAATGGATTCCCCGGCTCCATTTGTTGTTGGAGCTTTGATTCCTGTGAGTGTTCCTCGCCCGGTTATGCCTGACCAGTTGTCACTTCAGGACTGTCCCGTGGCTATTTCAACTGCTGACTTGTGGGGCTCAGGCTCTTCACCTCATCCTGAACCTTCCGGTCCGGCGGTTGTTCAGGACTCTACGTATCGTATCGTACGGGGGAGTCATGCTTCTTACCGTATAGTCCTTGTTCCCAATTTCGAGGTGCTGACACTGGGGGAGGTCTTCTTCATTCTCTTCCCCTCGGCTGTTTAATAATTTTGGCAGGCAACGGGGTTCCCAGGATAGGTCTCCCCGGGGCAAGTCCTTTGTTTCCAAACGGCCCTTTCGAGGGGGAGGAGGTCATTCCTACCGGCGCCGGTGCTAATTGCATCTCCGGCCCTCCCATAGGCGGCAGATTGGCCCTCTTCACCGCCACTTGGGAGAAGTTCACTTCTGACAAATGGGTCCTGGTCACCTTACAGTCTGGGTTGGCCATTGAATTTCTCTCCCCCCCCCCCGAGCACCTTTGTTTGCTGTCCGCTTTCTCGTAATTCCAAAAAGAGAGCGCTTATGGACGCTGCGGTTCAGCATCTCCTTGCGATCAGAGCTATCCAACTTGTTCCTCCCGATCAACAGGGAACGGGATTCTATTCCCTTGTTTTTCTGATGCCTAAGTCCTTGTGTGTGTGGAGACCCATTCTGGACCTAAAACGCTTAAATCGGTATGTCGTATACCGTAAATTTAAGATGCACTCTTTGAAATCTATACTTGACGGTGTTAGGAGGGGCGATCTCCTTTCCTCTATAGATCTTACGGAGGCCTATTTGCATATCCCTGTTCTCCCTTCCCATAGGCGTTATTTAAGATTTTGTTATGGTGGGGTTCATTACCAATACAGGGCTTTGCCCTTTGGGCTTTCTTCCGCCCCCCGTACCTTTACAAATGTTTTGGCTGCGCTAGCCGCCTCCCTCAGGGTTCGTTCTGTTAGACTCCTTTGCTACCTAGACGACATTCTTGTCTTGTCTTCTTCCACTCAACAAGCTGTCCTAGATGTTCAGCTCACTTTGGAAATGTTGGCTTCCCATGGGTTCTCCATCAATTTGGAGAAGAGCCATCTGGTTCCTTCTACTTCCCTGATCCATTTAGGGGCCCTGATTGATTCAGTTCAGGGTAGGGTTTTCCTCTCCCCAGAATGACAAGATAGCTTATGAGGTTTAGTGTCTAGGATTGAGGGGTGTCGGGCGGTTTCCCCTTTTGTTCTTTCTCAACTTTTGGGAAAGATGATATCAGCCATAGCCATTGTTCCCTGGGCACAGTTCCACACCCGGGAGCTTCAATGGTTTCTCTTACCTTTACAGAAGGCAGGTAGAGGCACGTCAACCAGGCCGCTTCCTGTTCCCTCCTCGGTTCGCAGATCCCTCCGGTGGTGGCGGTCCCCAGCCCTGTGGGCAGGTTGCCTCTTCTTCGAGCCTCAGAAGGTAGTGGTGACTTCGGACGCCAGCCTTCGTGGCTGGGTGGCCCATTGCCAAGGTCAGCTGGCTCAGGGGATGTGGAATGAGTTGGAGGCTCGTCGTCCAATAAATTGGTTGGAGTTGCAGGCGGTTTTTCTCGCTCTCAGGGCATTTCACCACCTTGTGTCCGGAGCTCATGTTCTAGTGCTAACAGACAACGTTATGGCCAAGGCGCACTTGAACAAGTTAGGGGGCACCAGATCGAAGTTCCTGTTGTCTGTGGCCATGAAGTTGGGACTCTGGGCGGAACGCTACCTTGGCTCCCTTCGGGCGGAGCACATATCCGGGGTCGCCAATACTCAGGCGGACTGGCTGAGCCGGCAGCAGGTGGACAATGCGGAGTGGCATCTCCATCCACGGATCTTCCGAAAGCTGGTCCTTCGGTTCGGCTCTCTGCTTGCCGATCTTTTTGCAACAATCTCAAATGCCCAACTGCCCCGCTGCTTCGCCCGGTTTCCGGAGCCTCAGGCGGAGACCACCGACTCCCTTCAGTCTCCTTGGCCGCAAGGTCTCTTGTACG